GTTCATCAGATACAGAAAACTAGGAAGTAAAATATCATTTGATTGTATTTGTAGTTATGTATGGAGGTATTAGATGCTGTAGTATGTTACAGTTATTTACCAGTATCCAGTTTACACCATTTTATAGCTGCTCTCTGTCGTCTGGTTAATATTGCTAAAGTTTGTAAGGAAAGTTGGAAGTTAATGAGAAAATTACTGGGTACACATCTAGGACATAGCAGTATTTATACTATGTGTTGTATGCTTCAGGATAGGTTAGTAATGCTGCTATATTGGGAATATATTGATAACTCATTGTCACGGGAAAAAAAATGATGGTTAATTTCAAATGACTTTAAAGATTATATATAGCAAAGGCCTGCATTAAAGAAATATTGTACAAAATTTTCATGTTAGTCTAAGTGAGGTGATACGTGGAATATGCCTTGTTATCACTCACTATTTTGGTGTATTTGTTATGCCATCTCCAACCTCAAATTTTTCATCAACAAGGGGTGCGCATTATATACACTTGCGCATTATATTCAGAAATATACAGTAGATGTCTGTATCAAGAGAAAGTAAGTAAAAACTAATTTTTACAATGATGATACCTTAGGCTCATGGGAATCCTTTCTACTAGCTAGTCCTTGGTCAAACCTCTTTCCCAGATTGTCCTTAGCTCTTGATATATGATAAGAGCCAAATAGTCAGAGCACTGAGCTGTAGTGAAATTGAGTATATGGATTTGATATTATTCACTTTGGTCATTCTTATCTGGCTCGGTGTCATCTTTGCAACAAAAATCGATACCAAAAGGTTTGCCCCAGCTGGTAGACAGGATAAGCGTGAACTTATGTTGGTATCCTTTAACAATTAGTTCAAAAATACATTGATTGTAGGGTTTAAACTCTCTACGTATGGTTCTTACGTGGAAATAACACTCAGCCATTTAGAATCACAACCACGACCACTTGAAACCTCGTATAACTATATATGACGTGAAATTATTTTTCGAGAAAAACGCAAAAAACTATTTGTAAGAGTATTTTGTTAAAATCTTTTTAATTATTTTTTTTACCGCTATATGTGGTTTTCAATCTTTGAAAATATTAACCTTGTATAACAATTTGAATTCTCTGACCTATTCAACCAATAACTTGTATAATAATACTGTATACGAGGTTTTTCATTTTCATCTGCAGAAAAGGAACATTGAATCTCGTGTAATGATATATTTTACAAGATTTTAAATCTGACTGTTTATATACTTGTTATTTAATTAGTGCTTTTTGAGTTATTTACAATCAAGCTAAGAATACGAGGTCTGATCATAAGATCCGCGCTTTTACAAGCTTTCGAACGGTACCAAAAAGTCAAAATGACCAAATATGGCATATACGATGTTTCAAGCGGTCACCCAGGATATGTAGTTACAATGTGACAATGATTAAGATGATCTTATGTAGAAACAATAGACCAGCATTTAGGATCACAATACAATGGGGGTCTACTCAAACTCTGACATCACTTTGCGTAAAGTGTCCATTTGTCATTGAATTTTGATGTGGCAACTATATATGTGTCCAAGTGCAAAGATAAGTGACAAAACCAGAAAATTTCTTCAAGTTTGTATCATTTTGAAAGTAAAGAAATCATGTTACTGTATCAATGTTCTGATCTATAATTATATTTTATAATAACAGAAGTCAACCTGTAGATGGTATATTACTACGTGGTGCTGTGTTTTTTATTGGTATGGCCTTATGGGGATCTAGTCGAGTACAGTCATTAAAACAGTCACAAACTACAGTTTTACCATCTTTTCTACAGGTATCTATTCATCAAACTTTAACATATCTGAAGCTAAGTGTTTACATTACATAAAAGATAAAACAACGAGTCAACTTGTAATAAAGGAAAAAAAAGCACTTGATAACATGCAAACAGTTGGTAAAAAGTCGATACAATTAGAATAGATGTGGCTACATAACATAGCATTGTGTTTTTCGACCAATCGTTCATTTAGCTGAGCTAATCAGTAATAGTGTTCACAGCTCACTGTCGAAAGTTGAACCTTCAAATCCACGTGTGTCCAGAATTATCCACGTTTCAATGTTAAAATGACGACACATCTTGACACTCTGTGATATACAGAAAAGACATAAATAGAAACAGAAAGTGAAATTCCTAGTTTGAGGTATTTTTAAAGGAATTATGCAAATTATTTGCGAATCCATTTCTAATTTTTCTGAAGACTATTTACATATATTTAAGACTCAAATCAACCCCCGAAACTGGTTGCATGAAGACGGCAAGAAACAGGGATTGGTTTATTCAAAATATTCAAAGATATTTGGACTCCATGCTACTAATAGTGGAACCCTCAAAATTATCTGTTTTTGACCTGTAAAGTACCTATGGAAAGGATGCTAGAGCTTATTTAATGCAATTATTCGATATATATCCTTCCGCAAGAAAATCATTTCTGTTTTTTGTTCTTTTACAGGCATTAAATAGTCGTCATTCTATAGTAGGACATGAAGTAGTATTATCTATACAAAGATTAGTCAAGAAATATGGTAAAGAATTACAGAATGTAACCTGGGATATTATATTGAGTATTCTAGAAAAACTTATAGAACAATATGAGGTCAGTTTACTGTAGTATATTACTGATAACAACATCTAGAAAGTATCATCTTTCAGTAGCATTCTGTTAGCCATCTTTGACTCGTTGAAATTTTCCACTTTGATATTATAAGTCTTGTCAGCAACGCAATAATCTTGTGGAAGTGCAACAAAAATAGGTGGCCAAGACTGTCCGAGTGTCTGCACCCTAAGTATGATCACCCAACAGCACTGTTTCCAAATTCATAAATCTTGTTTAGAAATACATTATATGAACTCATAACACAAATGCAAATGCAAATTATGTAGGTCATGTATTGATGTGCCACGTAAACAAAACAAATTGACAAGTTGATGACTCAGTTGAAGTTGATAGTAAAGACCATGCGATTCAGCGAATGTAACTAAAAATGTTTCGAATAACATCACTTTTATTATAAGTTCATAGATCACATAAACACGTTTACCTAAATACTGATTGATTTTCTACAGAATGATTCAACAGATCCTACAAGTGAAGAGAGTCAGATACAAGTTGAAATACATGATGTATTAACAACAATAGAAACTCTACATGAGAGTAGACAATATCTCGGCTCTGTACCCAGATTCTTTCAAATAATAGAACATTGTGCTCATAAGAGATCAGTAAGTATCTTTATTTAAATTCAAGAAGAAATAGTCCCAAAGAGATTGTAAAGAGGTTTTGCAATTTTCACCATTTGAATTTTTAACCAGACATTAGGTTCTTGCAATTCCACAAAAAATAAGTGTTGATGACATCACTAATTGCAAAATATGCTTAATCACATAAGGCCTTTCGTGATTAGTGACGTCATCAACCATTTAGTTTTACTGGAATTGCAGGAGGAACCACCGCCATCTGATAGACAATTAGAATGGTCAAATTGATTCTATCAATGTCATCGATACACATAAAAAATTCAGAAAACCTCTTTACCATATCTTTAAAACTTAGATAGGTGCACCATTTTTTTGACCATTCATTTCAAAGTCTCAGAAACAGATTTGTTTTTTATCTAAACCGATACTTTTCACAGCTAACCATCACAATTTGAGCCTTCAAATACTAGTGTATCTAGAATTATGTGCATTTGAAAATTAAAAACACAGTCGTCTTTTCTTGAGACACTGCCATATTTATAGAAAAGATATGTATAGAAATAGGAAAAGAAATTCCTAGTTTAAGATATTTCTAGTGCTTCAGAAGATTATTTACATATATTCAAGACTAAAATCAACCCCCTAAAATGGTGCACCTGTCCCTTTTAAACTGAGACCATTTTTAGATGACTTTCTGATGAACCAATGACATAGCAAGTGAAATTGAACAGTACTAACCAGTAAATAATGTTGATATCATCAGTGAACATTTCACACTTAGGAATTCATGATAACATTAATAAACTCTTTATTCCACACAGGTCAGAATTAGGTCCACTCAACCAAGTCACATAGATCTATTGAATATTCAGTCCCATTTCAGAAAATGAAAAACAGATGCAACATCTGTATCTTCCAGACTTTATTATAACACACCTCTGTGCTGTTGAAAATAAGATTATTAGAACATTTTACTTTGACTAATACTATATCATATTAATTGAAGAGTTTCCAAGCCCGAAAAGGTTAGGTCAAAAGGTTATTAGATCAAAAGGCCCGCCTTTAGACCCTAACTGAAGTGGTTGTATTCAAAATAAATGCTTATAAAAACAGAATGAAAGTTTGGTCTAAATTTGATTAGACTGTCTATGATATATTATATAAATCATATTTTGATTTCAAAGATTAGTTTTTAAGAGGTACTTAATGCGAAATCTTTTTTTTTTTTTTCAGGTTCACTCAATATCATTATTAATAGATTATCATGCTCAATTTATACATCCTATTAAAGAAAAATGGATTGTCAATTTAAACTCTCTTCTAGAGCGTTTCTTCAGGTAAGTTAATTATAGAAGAGTTCATTGCATGTTGACTGATTTGGTTGTTCAGGCATATTGGTCTGATTGTATCTCCTGATGTTGGCCGGGATGATGTTGGCGGGTGTCATGTGCTAAGCAGACCATGCTTACTCTTTTCAAAACACCTGATGGTACTTCTCTTTGGAGGAGTCCACTACTGTAATATTTTTACTCTTGATTTTGCCATGCTTTGGACAAGGTTAGCGGAATTGTCTTGCTTGTACGGATTTTATTTTATCATACAAAGTTTTTGGTTTTCATTGTCTTTTTATACAAAAAGACCAGCCTTAATATTTAAATTACCAGAAGCACTTGGTCACGTGACAATATCAACCATTTTGCCATCAAAATTGATTCAATAAAAATTTCAAATATATCTATCATGTTTTCGAGAAACTACCCCTGAAATTATATTTTCCTACAAGATTAAATGATTTTTCTTATTTTTAAGACAAGAAAGCAGGACAGATATTCGGAAGAAAGCATTAGATATACTATCATTTGTATTGAGTATTAATAAACATATATATGAGGTATGTATTTTGTGGTATTCCTTTTCTCTAGTTTTTCATACTTTGCAAAATTCTACCCAGCTTCTGATAGCTATTTTAGTTGTTGTCAGGTTTAAGATCAGAAAAACTATACCCTGTTGTAGAATTTAAAAATTTTACAGCCTTTTACACATATTTTAAAACCTGTTATCCTTAGTGCTTTTACATTTTTGGATAAAAGCAAAATGTTTATAAGGCTTGGTAATTTGATTTAAAGGGACAGTGTGCCATTTTGGGGAGTTGATTTTAATCTGGAATATATGTAAATAGTCTTCAGAAGTACTAGAAATGTTCTTAAATCACATAATTCCTTTAAAAATACTTCAAACTAGGAATTTTGCTCACTAATTCTTTTCTATATATCACAAAATATCTTAAATTGATGAGTTGTCATTTTAGCATTCAAACTCGGATTATTCTGGACACACATGGATTTGAAGGCTTGACGGTGAGCTGTGAACACTATTGCTGATTAGCTCAGCTAAAAAATTCCTAGTCTCTGAGACTAAAGTATGATTAGTCGAAAAAATGGTCCACCTGTTCCTTTGATATTGGACTTTAATTTTGCTGCAAAATGAAAAATTTTTGTTTGATCTTGTAGGCTGATTTGATAGAAATGGTAGTGTTACCTAATTTAAGAAATATTGATACAGATCCTGATACAGAAGTCCGACAATCTGCAGCTCATATTTTATTAGTATTAGCTCAAACTTGTAATTCTGATGAATTCTTTGAAATAATGACTATAATAGAAAAGGTAAGTAAATTGTTATCATAGATAAAAAAGGTGATCTACATTCTGATGATCTAGATTATTTATATATATATTATAGATAATCTACATTCTATTATACAATTATACTTAGGATCTAGATCAGTGATTCTCAATCTCAGTGAGATCTTTCAAATGTATTCCTTTCCTAAATAAATCCGTCATTTTGAAACCTATTTCACTTAAAAAAAATATATTCAACGATTAACCATAAATGGATATAAAATTATACTCCACATATCGAGATAGATCAATGTGACTCTTGGGCTGAATGTTTGTTCCTGATTTTATTTATATGTGGTTTAGTCGTAGATCACCTTCGCCTCCCATCTCCTCCCAGTTCAAAGATTCCTCCCCATTTCACTCCTTTGCAATTATTCCTCCCCATTGTCTTCCAATTCCTCCCTTGGAGAGGAATTTCTCCCCTGTTGAGAAGCACTGATCTAGATATTCGACAAATTTTATAGATATTACATTCAATAATTACAATTACTTACTGACGATGTAGATCTTTTGATATCTACATTCTTTAATACAATTTTTATAGGTGATCTACATTTGATTATTATATTATCTTCTGGTGATCTTGATTATTTTATATCCAATATAGATATTAAAGAAAGTAGATAATATATTATCATCACCTATAATTAATATAGATAATCTACATTCTATAATACAAATACCTACTGATGATCAACACTATTCTGATGTTAAAGCTACAACTTTCCAATTAATAGAAGTCTTTAAGGTAATGGAATTATCTCTTCATCTAGTCAAAGACTATAAAAATGTTCCTACCGTGTTTCCCTTGTGATAAAAAATCAAAGTACTAAACTAGCCTATTAACATGGACATAGCAAGGTATATTAAATATGATCGTACTCACAAAACTTGTGAATATTGTGTGAGTATGGACAACCTATCTTTTGATTGGTCAAAATTGACCACATCATAGGAAGCTATTTGGATAAAATGAACCACAAGCCCATCTTTTTATTGACATTAAGGAGTATGATGAAAATGTTATATTTTGTATTTTCTGTCCTAACTTAGCTATGACGGGTGTGACACCAGGCAGGATATGCTTACTCTTCTAAACATCTGCTACCACTTTTCATTATGAAATATTTACACTCTTATGATTGATGTACTTCCTTATGTATTCCAATATAATTCAGGTATTTGTTATGTGATTCAGATCATTATTCGTTTATTTTCATTGAGATACCAGAAAGCATTAACAAGTTCCACTTTTTTTCTTCTAGGTCAAATTATATCAGTCACCTTCAAGTCATGGTGTTAGAATCTATGAGATATTAATAGATTTTCTTACAACACAATATCACACCATTGTACCAAATTATACTGCTGCTTCCATGAGAAAAGCTGTAAGTTTCTTCATGTACCGGTACCTTTTTTATACGCTCACATGAAATTGGGGGCGTATATTGCCGTCACCCATGTCCACCCGTCCGTCTGCCTGTCCACAATTGCTCGTAAACACTCTACAAGACACAATTCTTGACAGATTTTGACAAAACTTGGTACAAATGTTCGTAATCACCCAAGGATGAACTCTATTGAAAATCTGAAGAATCGAAAAATGTTTAGTATGAGTTATTGCGCTTGTTCTTGAAAACGGGTTTAATTTTCAGCTCGTAAACACTCTAGAAGGCACAATTCTTGATGGATTTTGACGAAACTTGGCATGAATGTTTGGTATCAACCAAGGATGAACCCTATTAAAAATCAGAAAAATCGAAAAATATTTAGTATGAGTAATTGCCTTGTTCTTGAAAACGCTTCAATTTTTAGCTTGTAAACACTCTAAAAGGCACAATTCTTGACAGATTTTGACGAAACTTAGTGGGAATGAACCCTATTGAAAATCAGAAGAATCAAAAAATATTTAGTATGAGTTATTGCCCTTGTTCTTGAAAACGCATTCAATTTTTAACTTGTAAACACTCTAGAAGGGACAATTCTTGAATGATTTTGACGAAACTTGGCATGAATGTTTGTTATGACCCAAGGATAAACCCTATTGAAAATCAGAAAAATCATATTGGTGATTGTTACTGTACTGCTAAATATTTTTATTCAAAATCAAAGCTGCCAGTGGGCGTATATTACCTTTCCTGGCCAGCTATCTTTTATTAAAATGTCATTCAATAGTACATTTTGCATAATCGTATATTTTGTTTTGTATTCATACTTCGTTTTGTATACACATTTTGTTTTGTATGTGGTAAATGCCACCTCATTGGAAGGTGGCTGGTAGAGCAGTCCCTTGTGTAAAGGATTAAGACACTAAGATACAATGTTTATCAATTATCTTTGTAGATATTGGAGTGTTTATTAGAATTAAGAGCTGATAATTTACATAGATTAGGTATAGCTGATAAACCAAAAGATGTACAATATCCCTTCAGTCCCTATATACTCTGTTATTGTAGGTATGTATCAACAAGCTTATCATTTTTTGGATTTTGGGATCTTTGGCATAATTTGCATGAATCTCTGTATATTTTGAATGCGTTTTATTTTCAAAAAGCTTAATGCTTGAAAGATATTGTCTATTGTCTGAGCAAAGTAAAAAGTTTTTTGAATTATATTCATTATTTTTATGAGAATTGGAATAGCAGCCTCAAAATAGTACTATTAGTCTTAAAATGACTTTGCCTTTATAAAAATATAATTTTTCCTAATTTCATTTAAAAAAATAAATTTTGAAGACATGTTGATACTTTTATCAATACAAAGACATTTTAAGACAGTACTAGTAACAATACTATTTTGAGGCTAGTATTCTAGTACTTATAAAAATAATAGTAAAAATTAAAAAAAAAAACATTTGGCTTTGCTCTGACAATAGTTCTGGTATTTTAGATTTTAACTGTATTATATATATTTGTAGTGAAGAAGAACCAGAACCTGTTATTCCACCTAGTCCTGGAGGTATTGGTACTAATAATATACTACAAACATCAGTACGATCTGTTATAGATTATACACAAGTCTTTACCTTATTTATTATCTGTTTAAAAAAGGTAGGACATATTGGTTTTAAAGCCAGGGTATATTTTGCATTTTCTGTGCAACAGAAAACCCTTGAATACAAGCTTCAAAAACACCCTGAAAATCAAGTTTTCCAATCGTTTTCTAACTGTCGAGGGATCTTTAACATACAAAGTCTGTAGCACACAAGTCCTCGGTTTATGGTCCCATCCAAACCACAAGGCGCTTTTTCCATGTCATCCCCTTCGACCTGCATCTCTGACAAGGGGAAACTTGGTTGAAAGACCAGAAGGTATTATCTTGACCTATGCCTTTATGTTAGTGAGCAAGAGTCTTAACTCACTGAGCCACCAAGTCATTTACTAAGATATAATATACTATATAACAGGAGTTAGATTGGGAAGTATTAAAAGCTGTATTAAATAATCTACCAATAGTACTACAGAATAAAACATTGATATTATCAACAGAAGGAGATTTAATAGATGAACTATGTCATCATTTAGCTTCTATGGTAAGATATGAATTTATTTTGTAGAGCTAATATATGCTATTATGCAGCTGGGTTTGTGAATTTTTATACACCAACATTATAATGTGGTTGTATATTGTCGTCATCCCTGTCTGTCGGTCTTTCGGTCCGTCCATCCACAATTGGCTTGTGAAGACAATAGAGGCTTCGAATTTGAAGATTTTTCGATGAACTGTTGAGTTATTGCTCTTGACTTCTGAAAAACGCGTCCAATTTTGTTTGTGAACATAATAAAGACTACAGTTTTCATCCAATTTAAATGAAATTTAGTGTGATCATTTATCATGATGATATCTTGGTCAAGTTTGAATTTGATGATTTTTCAATGAGTGAAATTTGAGTTATTGCACTTGACTTAGTAAAAATGCATAAAAACTTGTGAGCAGTTTATCTCAAAATTTTATGAAATTTTGTGTGTTTGATTAAATCAACAATATCTTGCAAAAATTAGATTTTTGGTATGATTTGACACAGATTGGCAACTGCCTTTGATATATTGAAAAATTATCAGGAAAGTGGGCGTATCTTGCTAGGCAACCAATTGTTATCTCTGTTAGACAGTCCACATAACTATTTTAGAAGGTTGTGCATTCCTATTGCCTTGTGAGCTTCTATAGCACAGTCCGATAAAGCGCTGGTTCTTTACATGACGTCATTTGTGTGGAACAAATGGTGACTGTGGGTTCTAATCTCTGTCAGCATGTGAAAGTCGACCCAGCTGTAAATGGGTATAAATAATATGAGAAAGATTAATGCCAAGAAATTTTGCCAAGGCCAGCTGTCAAAAAGGATCCTTAAGTTGTTATCCTCGTAAGATATGGTTGTTTCTATCTTTTCTTTTTTCTTTATCAATGTGAGATAACTGAGACCATAACTGCCCTGCTGATATTGTTATAAACTTAACACCAAGATAGGAAACATCTAGGATATTGTTTTGCTTTATTTTGATTGATAATGATGTATAAATTGATTTTTAGGTGAATGATAGAATGTTGAGATTACCAGAAAAACTCAATAATTTACCGAGTAATTTTACTAAATCTGATTTCCATACCTTCGTATTTCCTGTATTAGCAGCTATGGTGACATATCATGATTATTTAGACAGAGCTAGACAGGTAGATGATTCTATTATTTATTTTGATTCTGTACTAAATACCGGGCACATGATATCCAGCAATATGAAAATCATGTACATGATACATGTGTACTGATAGCTATCATTCCAAGGTAATGAACCTCCTTCAGGTAACTGCAGAGATAACCAACACATGTTGTTTGAGAACAAATTGGTCAATGATGTTATATCCCTTGGAATAAGGTTTGATACCATTTCATTTGGATTTTTTCCAATTTTGATATGACTTCCATTTTTTTCTGATTTTGATCTCTAATTTCATTTAATTTCATTTCATTTATTCTCAAGATATCCTTACACTAAGCCTTATTTTTTATTTCCCCGGGAGCCGCAGTGGCTCAGTGAATTTTATTTTTGCTAACCTGAAGGTCCAGGGTTCAATTTCTGTATAGGTTGTGGTGTAACTTTCAAATTTTTCAACCCAGTTTCCCCCTGTCAGTGATGCAGGTACGAGGGGCTGACATGAAAAAAGCGTCTAGTCGTTCGGATGGGACTGTAAACCGAGGCCCCGTGTGCCACAGGCTGTGCACATTAAACATCCCTCGACAGTTGAAGTTGGAAAAAGCAGGTTAATGCCGCTGTCCTGGCAAAATTTCCTCATTGTACCCTGCATGGTGCCGAAAAGTAGGACGTAAAACTCCATTCATTTATTTCCCAGGCGATAATAATTTCATTACATTTCCGCAAATGTCATATTTTTTGGTGTGTATATATTTCAGAGAGAATTAATTAAATGTTTAGAGTTTGGTCTGGTATCTAAGTGTGCTAAAGGTTGTGTAAGTTCATTAAGAATCTGTACATTAGAGATGCAAGATGTCATGATGAGACAGCTACCATCAGTATTATTATCACTATCTAAAATATCAGCTACTATCTCTATGGCTATACCAGTATTAGCTTTCCTTTCAAGTAAGTACTTATTATGATTTCAGGGGGGAGAGATTTTCAATTTTTTTTGCCCCCCGGGTCCTCCCTCTATATACGCTAATGCAGCCAATCATAGTTCACGATAGAAAGACTAATACATCATGACTTTTTGTCGAAGCCTTTGATTGCCAGTATTTACTAGCATATAATCCAATCAAACTGCTTCATTTACATACTTCCGTGATACAAGAAATGTGGCTATTGCAGTCAAGGTATAAGACAAAGTTTCATAATAGCTTGACATTGTGCAAATGCTTGTGGGCATTACATTTCCTTCTCATTAGTATTCTGAAATTCTGTAAGCTGTTCATATTTGTTCTTTGTATTTAGCAATTGTGAGTACGATATATAGGCATAGCTTTATGGAACAACAATCATTGGTTGAAGTTTTATGCAACGTTTCGACATCGTCCTCAGGCACATAAAGGGGAAGCAAGTCGAAACGTTGAATAAAACTTTAACCAGTGATTGTTGTTCCATAAAGCTGTATCTATATACTGTTCATATTTATTTTCAAGGTATTGTAAGATTACCCAAGTTATATGCTAACTTTGTTGAAGATCAGTATATGAGTGTATTTGCAATAGCTCTTCCTTACACTAATCCTTTCAAGTAAGTGATTATGTTTTGTTAACAGGAAAGTTTTTTATGCTAACTTCTGTTGCCACAATTCGATTCCCTGTTACACATTGCTTGTAAGTCAAGAATAACAAATATTTAGACAGGTGCAAACAAAAGCTGTAAAGTACAACCCCTTTTAAAGCAAATGTTGAGTTTTTATCTAATTATAAGCAAGCTGCATGTTAAATTTTCATTTCAAGAATATGTATAATTCAATTTGAGCTCTATCGGCTTATATAAAAGAAATAATTGGGCAAAATTTCCTACTATTGCATAGCATTGCCCGCCTTCTTCATGAGATCTATTAGCAATCATAAGCGAAAAAGGAGAATGTCAAACTCTTTTTCAAATTCTGATCATTAATTGAAATCATATTTTGTTAATGTTTCTGATTTTTGGATTTATTGAATTTTTTTTTATATTTTTCCATTAGATTCAGTCATTATACAGTATCATTAGCCCATCATGTTATAGCTGTTTGGTTTATTAGATGTAGACTACCATTTAGAAAAGGTTTTGTTAAATTTATTCAGAAGGTTTGTAGTTTTAGTATTTTTCATTTATAAATCTTATTACTTCAATAATGTTAATTGAAAGTAGACTAACTGGTTGAACAGAAATCTGACATTTGTGGACATTTAGATCACAGTTGCTCATGATATACATTGGCGGTCAATCTTCAAGTTTCGGTGAATAAGTTGATCTACATTTATCCTTTGTTTTTATTCTTCCACAAGAAATGTGGAGCGTATAATGGTGTCAACCAATGTCCGTCTGTTGGTCCATCACAATTGTTAATAAACACTCTAGAAGGCAAAATTCTTGTCAGATGTTGAAACTTGGTATAAGTGTTTGTAATCACCAGAGGATGAACCCTTTTGAAAAGTATGAGTTATTGCCCTTGTTCTTGAAAACGCGTTATTTTACCTTGTTAACAATCTATAAGGTTCAAATATTGACAGATTGTGATGAAACTTGGCATGAATGTTTGTAATCACCCTAGATCAACCTTATTGAAAATCAGAAAAATCATAAAATATTTTGTATGAGTTATTGCCCTTGTTCTTGAAAACACGTTCAACTTGTAAACATTCTGTTATTATGCTAAAGAGTTCAAAAGAAGTGTATGACTGAAGGTTGAATATTTCATACTGGTGATTGTTACTGCACTGCTAAATATTTTTATTCGAAATCAAAGCTACCAGTGGGCGTATATTACCTTGCCTGGCAAGCTATCTAACAAGTTATTGTTATTATTAGGGTTTAAAAGCTAATGTATTACAACAATTTGAAGAGAATGCCAGGATTAATTTAAAGAATCAAGATTCCAGTGATAGAAATAGATCAGGTTCCTATACAGCTGGTACCACTAGAACTAGGTGAGTGTAGAAATAATACTAAACAGACCTAACCAAACCTAACCTTCTTTCTAGATTTTATATTCTCAATGATTTCAAAAGTGTAGTTTTTTCAGGAAATAAAACTCATCTTTTTAGCTTGATTGACCCCAACATAAATCACTGTTCTGATCAAAATTGACATTTGGTTATGTTCATTAGTGAACCTTTCGTCTTTAGAAATAAAGAAATAATGCAAGATAATTGATTTCCTAGTTAAAGGGGCAGCCTGATTTTATTATGGAAAATTTTCATTACAAAAAATGATTTAAATCATATGCTATTTACTACTTACTTCATAACTTCAATCTGAATTTGTTTTAAAAGGGTTAATAACAAAACAGAATGTTGTAATTGTTAAGTAAACAGCACTAGTTTTGGTAGTTTGGTTAACCACAATAATTTTTCATATACATTGTCGGTTAAATAACACTCTATACAAATGATTTCCTATTGGGTGTTAAATTTTAACCAATCAAAACGACACTCCAGAGGTTTGTCTCTACTCATACAATATTCATGAGTTTAATATGTTCAGTTTTGTAATAGCAAGATGGTTCTGATAGAACAGCTTTTATTGGCTATTTATTTGAGTATTTTAACTCCTCCCAACAAGAAAACCTTCTGTTCGATAATAATAGTATATAGTATGGAAATAATTGTTGCTGACATCAAGACTGATAACATACATGTGTACAGGTCAGGAAAAAAAATCTGGAGATTTGCTTTGAAAAATCTAGAGATTGGGTGAAAAGTCGGGAGATTTTTCCACAGCGCGAAAAAGCGAAAGTAGAATCTACTGGATGTTGTTATAAAAAGTGTGTCATGTGGGCTTAAAATACACATTATCGGGTGAAATAGATCAAATTACCATCTTAATTGGGGGATTAACTAATCAGGCAATGATAATATTACTACATGATGAGATTAACGCGTGTTACCGGCGTTAAGATACAAGTAATGAAAGATATTTTGTTGATTTATGGTAGAGAATTTGAAGATTGAAAACGGTAGGTCCCATGAAAATTTGATCAAGAAAAAAACCAAAAATCGGTAGAATCGGGTATCCTGCCGGTAGAGCGGTAGACAACATCCAAAAGCGGTAGAAACCTGACAACATCGGTAGATTACACATATATGACTGATGTACAATACATCATGTACTTTATAATCACAGAAATAAGAAAATGATTATTACTTGCTGATATCTGTAGGTACAGTAGTATGTCCTAAAATATAATCAGTAATTAGTTAATACACTGTGTATCATTCTAGGCGTAGAATGGTATCAGGTTCAGCTATTTCACAAGGTGATAAACAACCACCAATAGAAAGTAAGATGTCCCAGTTTCATAAAGAATTAACTGAAACATGTACTGATATGATGGCTAGATATACATTTGGTAACGTGTCAACCACACCAAAGCGGTTTGTTTTAATATTGCTCTTTACCTCTATCTTCCACATTCTCTGTCCACTCATTCTGGTATTAATCTTACTCCAAATTTTCATTAGGTTTTATCATTGATCATTTCATGAGAAGAAGATATGAAATTGAAGTAAATCGTTAAAACTACTAGTAAGTCTATATGGTTTCCGGAAAGGGGGTCTTTGATTCTCCCGAATGTACAGGCCTAGGATAGAACAAATACCCCATTGAGAAATTGGATTGCCTATGTATTTTTCTTGTGTTAATCTTCGGTAGATGTCATCCGATCTGAAATTGGATAAAAAAAAAATATTGAGTTTTCTTCTCTGGGTTTCATGGAGGTATGAATGGAGTTGATCATATCTGAAAAGTTATTTTGAAATATTCTTCTACAATTAGCTAAGCCACTCAACAGAATCTTCCAAATCACATGGAATTGTTCTCTTTTGTTAACACCATCTTCAGATACTTTTTATATTTTCTGCTTTAGATCAGCAGTTGCCCAGTTTCTGTTAAAAGGTGGTCAAAATCAAACGTGGCTGGTGGGTAACAAAATCATCACCATAACAACCAGTGGTGGCAGCCCCAAAACTAGTCAGAATGGTTTGTGTGAAAAATGTCTGGTTTTATACCAAGAGACTCAAGATTCACGACTTCTGTCCGGTAAAAAATCTCGAGATCGCAGACGAAATAAATCTACAGCTTGTCTCAGCAGAAGTCACAGTCAAATTGATCCAGTAGGGTTACATGGTTCAGAGGAAGGTGATGCTTTGCCTAAACGATCTCAAGATGATCTTAGTTTGATAAATGATGATGCATTTTCTAGTGAGAATCATGATGATGTTGGTGTTCAGACTGGTAGTTCATTGATAGGTTCTGATAAAGATCCTATTGAATCGTTATTTTTAGGTAGGTCTGTCAAGGGTCAATCCTGACAAAAGTTGCTGGGACCCTGTTAGCAGTGTACTTTAATGTCCAAGTTATCTTGAGAATGACTCTTGTAGGTAGATATCTATACTTGCATAGTCTAACACAAATATTTTTACTCATTCAGTTCCAATACAAAGCATAAACACAACCAGTCCACTTTATCTATAGGTAGTGTAAGTAGGAATGAACTGAATAAATCTAGTATGTTGATTTTCAATTTCTATTTATTCCACCTTTTAAAAAATGTGGACTGCTTGTGTTTATGTTTTGAATAGGACCAGATGAGCACAAATATCTGTACCAACATTTTTCTTGTAATTTATGATCTAGAAAAGCATGGAATCATTGGTTAAAAATAAAATTCAGGAAGTTGGAGGCCATACTGATTTCTAGTGCATTTTGTGAGCAAATAATGACTATGCAAAAAAACTTCAGGAAGGTGCAGGTCATACTGATTTCTATTGCATTTTGTGAGCAAATAAACACAAAGCGAATAAATTTCAGGAAGGTGCAGGCCGTACTGATATCTAGTGCATTAAGTAAGCAAATAAAGACTAAGCTAATAAAATTCAGGAAGGTGCAGGTCATACTGATTTCTAGTGCATTTAGTGGGCAAATAAAGACTAAGCAAATAAACTTCAGGAAGGTGCAGGTCATACTGATTTCTAGTGTATATAGTGGGTAAATAGAGAAGCAAAGCTCTTTTAAGTTAGTTAGTTATTGTCCATACAAGGTCTACAAATACTTTCAATATTTGTTTCAGGTATAAAAAATCAGATGCCAGAGAAAAGAGCTTTTAGTATGAATCAATGTAATTGTTGGTGTACAGGTTGGGCTGAGATACTGATACGAGCACCAAGTGGTAATATATCTTGGATGATGAGAATAGAGAATGAAACCAGTATCTTTAGTCAACCTGAAAATATTTCTGATATTACGTTATTATTTGCTCCATTGTGTAAAAAGACACCATCGTCTGTGGAGTCGGACTTCTCGACTAAGATTGACAGTGAAAGTTTAGGTGAAGACGAATACGAGACTATTTATTCTCAGCATTTCCCTTCTGATCAAAGTCCAGGTTTGTATCTTGTACCAACGATCCAACCGCATGATAGAATTCGAAAATCCAAATATAGTAATGGAGGCAAGAACTATACATATGAGGAAGTATACTTCATTGGCTCTACTTTTGCTTCCAAAATTGCGTTAGATATATTCTTGGGATTCCTAGATTAGAAAATTTCCCTCCCACCATGACCATTTCATCTAAAAACCGCAAAGGGACGCTGGGGCCCTCGGATTGATTAAAGGGACAGGTGCAACATTTTGGGGGTTTGATTTTAGTCTTGAGTATATGTAAAAAGTCTTTGGAAATACTAGAAATGTAAGAAAATCACATAATTTCTTCAAAAATACGTCAAAACAGGAATTTTACTCACTATTTCTTTTTATGTCTTGTCTATATATCACAGAGTATCTTAAATTGACGAGTCGTCATTTTAACATTCAGATGCAGATAATTCTGGACACACATGGATTTGAAGGCTCAAATTTAGACAGTGAGCTGTGAACACTATTACTGATTGGCTTAGCTAAAAAATTCCAGTTTCTGAGAGTAAAGTATGATAGGTCAAAAAAATGGCCTATCTGTACCTTTAACTAATGAGAAACTGTAATTATTTTCTATTTCAGAAGACCCTACAGTGATTTCAACCGAGCCAAAGAAAGAGGTAATATGCTTTATCATTAATTTTGAAGAGAAGCATATAGGCCACATAGGGGACTCAAAATACTAGCTTATGAACAAATTGGTATGCTTATGAATATTGATGATATCTCAGATGAGTTCAATTTTCATGATTTTTCACTGAAATATTTGGAGTTATTGCCCTTTATTTAGTAAAGGTTTGCTAAATTTGGCTTGTGAATGTAATAGAAATTAAAATTTTAATTGGATTATGATGAAACGTAGCATGCTTATGTTTATATACTTTTCAAGGGGAGTTCAATCCGAACGATTCTTTTTTTAATGATCCGAAAATTTCATAAAATAGTGCCGTATATATAATAATGATTTCACAATAAACAATCAACCCAATAAAGCTTTGTTCATTGGCCCTGTGGTGTACTGGTTTAAAAGGGTTCCACTGTATACTTTTTGTGATGCCAATACATAGCTGTAAATACGTCTTTTATATTTTTTAGACTATGGGATTCCTGATACCAGAACCAGACAAATCAAGTTCTTGTGAGGAAACTTCGGCTCCAATGGATGTTTCACCAAGAACTTTACGGAAAACCAACTCTTCGCCATCAATTATTGGTTCCCAGCCTGAAGATGGCTTCTTACGAGATCTAACTTTCAGTCCACCGAAATCTGATACAGATACAGACACCATAGAACAAGTTTCACCAAAACTCTCTAGTCATAATCTTCCCAAATTAGATCTTATGTCTGTTAATTCTAATCCAGAACCTTCATCTCCTGACCCATGCCCTAGTCCAAGATCAAGTCCAACTAAAAGAGCTAAAACTGTAGCCAGAACTTTATCCAATTCACTTATTCAAGACACTATTGAGGAACATGATAACAATGTGGAATTTTATTGCCAAAATGAAATAGTGTCCGATAAATCAGAGGTACCTATATCACCAAATATTGATGTAGATACTAATAAATTGAACCCATTAGCCAGCGTATTGAATGCTGAGCAGAAACATCCATCGGATACCAGTCATACGGAGAGCACCATATCTCAAAGTTCAGCTACTTCATCAGATGATATACCAGAGATGATTACCATCAAACCACGAGGACATACCATATCTGTCATGTCACCAGCTCAAGATGTTCGACAGAGAGAGGATGTAAACAATCGTACCAAGTCAGATTCCTTAAAAGACAGTAGCAGTAGTGGTATAAGTCCCGGCTTTGTGTTTTTACAACTCTTCCATAACCATCCATTATTAAGTCTGCAAGAAACTCCTGTTCTTTTACCACAAAATGAAGTAAGTTTGAATTCAAATCTGCTTCATATCACATTATCAAAACATCAAAATTTAGTTGGCAAAATCTGTATTTCGATGTGATCTATTCATTTACTATTATTTTCTATTTCATTAACAGACAATGGAAAGAGCACTGAGAATGTTGAATCATATTCATCCTTATGAAACACATAAAATAGGTGTTGTTTATGTTGGTCCAGGGCAGGTATGTTAATATATTACATTACATAATGTTCATTAGGTTGAAGGGATGTTCTTGTTGTCTGCATATTATCTTACCCAGCTGAAAGAGTCCAGCATGTGTCACAATAAAAATATGAAGTCTGATTGGCCTAGTCCTTCTTTTCTCAGGCTTTCTAAAAAGAAAAAAACTCATCCTTGATCATTATCTTAATGATAAAAGGCTGATAATGAGACTTTGAATTTCTCTTGAAGCATGATGACATTTTTTTTTAATTTAAGCTTGGCAATGCAAAGTTTATATTATTTCTATATTTAAGGCTGATGATGAGTCTATATTATTTCTATATTTAAGGCTGATGATGAGTCTATATTATTTCTATGTTTAAGGCTGATGATGAGTTTATATTATTTCTATATTTAAGGCTGATGATGAGTCTATATTATTTCTATATTTAAGGCTGATGATGAGTCTATATTATTTCTATATTTAAGGCTGATGATGAGTTTATATTATTTCTATATTTAAGGCTGATGATGAGTCTATATTATTTCTATATTTAAGGCTGATAATGAGTCTATATTATTTCTATATTTAAGGATGGTGATGAATCTATATTATTTCTTTATTTAAGGCTGATGATGAGTCTATATTATTTCTATATTTAAAGCTGATGATGAGTCTATATTATTTCTATATTTAAGGATGGTGATGAATCTATATTATTTCTATATTTCAGGCTGATGATGAGTCTATATTATTTTTTATTTAAGGCTGATGATGAGTCTATATTATTTCTATATTTAAGGCTGATGATGAGTCTATATTATTTCTATATTTAAGGCTGATGATGAGTCTATATTATTTCTATATTTAAGGCTGATGATGAGTCTATATTATTTCTATATTTAAGGCTGATGATGAGTCTATATACTCCATTCTACCGATTTTTGTTTTTTTTCTTGACCAAATTTTGACGCGACCTACCGTTTTTAAGGTCCAATTTCTCTACCATAAATCAACAAAATATCTATCTTTACTTGTATCTTAATTGTCAGTAACATGCGTTTATCTCAGAACTGGTGATAAAAAGTCTATGTTATTCTATATTTAAGGCTGATGATGAGAAGGCTATTTTATCTAATCTATATGGAAGTGAAAGGTATGCTAAGTTTGTAGAAGAATTGGGAAATCTGATATGTTTAAGAAATATTGATCCAGATCAAGTTTATACTGGGGGACTAGCATCACAAGGTGAAGATGGACAGTTTGCATACAGTTGGCAAGATGATGCCATGCAAGGTATGTTATGTGTTTTTGGTAAAATTTAATCTTTCTTAAACGTATTAAGCTAAGATTCCACAAACGCGTCATGTGGATCCGTCATGCGTCATCCATCATACATTAAAAATCGAAATGGTTGGTTTAAAAGGGTATGATTCCATATATGCGGAAGTGGTATCCGTCAAAAGGTCTCCGTCAAGCGTAAAAAAAAATCGCCGGGTGTAGTGATTTTTGACGCATCCGGACGCCTTTCCGCACGGAGATCTCCCAAATGTGACATTTTGTGGGGAAGTCTGTGCGTAAGAAGAACGATAATGCATACGTTTAACGCACAGATGGAATCATATTTGACGCATGACGGATCTGCAAGGGCCGCATGACGCATCCGCATGACGCGTATATGGAATCTTAGCTAAACTTTGATTCCACATTTTAACTGTTTTATTCAAAGGCAGTTCCAGAAATAGAAATGCTTTATTGAGTTACTCTTCATACAAAGCATACTATACATTTCTACTATCTCTCCCATCAATGAACCAGTTATGCAAACTGGCATTTATTTTTCAATAAACTGTAGTTTGTCACGTGACACTATGGCATAGTTAAAGCACAACAATGATAAGGTCTATGATTTGTGACAAATTCCAAAAAAAATAATCATATAAAACAGTGAAATTGTATTTAAAAACGTATCTGAATATAAATATAAGAATTAAATTTTGGTCTCAATAGCATTATCAGTGTGTAAACGCAATTGATCACGTGACAAACATACGTAAATGACTTTGTCAGTTATTCAGTGTTGTGTGATTAATTATGTTCACACACTAATAATTGAGTGTTAATTGTTTAATTCTTAAGTGAAAATATTAACTTCATCATTAATTTTGTCAGAAATGATAATTTAATATCAGAATGCTTTGAAATAGAGTGGGCTGATAAACATAACAGTTGAAACCAAGGTGGTTGACTCAGTTAGATGCTTAGCTTCCTAATTGGGTCCACTCCCAGCAAAGAATGATATAATTTCTTTAGGTGTTTCTGTATCTGTCCGGACAAAATTGCTAGTAGAAAAGATAGCATAAAACGTAATTTTATTATATACCATGTTTATTTTGCAGTTATATTTCACATAGCAACATTGATGCCCAATAAGAAATCCGACCCAAATGGTAATTCTAAGAAAAGACATATAGGAAATGACTATGTTACTATTATATATAATGATTCACAAGAAGACTATAAAATCGGTATTATCAAGGTATGTATGATGCAATTAAATTTATCAAATAAGTAGGTATGCTTACTCTTCTAGACACCTGATACCACTTTTCAATATGAAATATTTCCTCATTTATGATTGATATACTTCCTCATGGGAAAAGTTCATTAGCTACTACCAATGTATTGCCATGTTTTGGCTTTCGGGTTTCGTTTCGCGGTTCAGATTGTAAGTACTGTGTTTCTTTATTTATAGCATTGTCTGCTCCTTAATCTTGAGATATAAAATCTGTCTCAACATGGATGTATATCACCTCCACTATCCATTATATTTTTTGTGCATGTGTTAGGGACTACAGTTTACAGATACAGTATAAGATAATTATACAACTTGTTTTGCTTATGTATATTGTAGAGTTGAACTTAGCTGATAACATTTTGAGGAAATTTGATATACTTATTGATGTTGCTTAGGTTTAATATTAGATTCATATTTTGGAGTTAATCCCCATGATGTAGCCAAATACAAAAGTTAGCTTTTGAAGAGAAGCTTTATTTTTGTTGAGGCACATTTAAGTGATTATTAAATGCTTTTTCAAAAGTCTGCCATGATGTTTAAAATGTAGCCTTATTTTTTAGCCGTAATTTCTTTTCATATCTGTTGCAGGGATCATTTAACTATGTGAATATAGTTATAAAACCATTAGATTATGAGAGTAATGCTGTAACATTACTTACCAAAGAAGGTAAATATTTCTATATGTATAAAGTGTACATAATCATGCTTTTTTGTTAAGCCTAATAAAAACTCTATGTGTTAAGTTGAAACCTTTTTTATTAAGTATCTACCATTAGGCATTTATTTTACTTAAATCCAAACAGTAGTTTTCTAACACCTGCTTAAAAGCAAAATAAAAAGTTTATATAAATAGTTTGGGTTTTAAATAATTAATGGCTGTATTTTTCTCAGATACGTTAAAGGACACATTTCTTCAGATTCAGGTGTATAGTATTCATAAATTTGAGCAAAATATTTTTTTTTGGAATTTTAATGCCCCTTTAAAACTTTCATTTACACTATTCCAATAATATTACTGTGTCATTGCAATTGAACGGTAAAATTTGACTCAAAAGTAACACATGAATCACTAAAGTAACTCAAAAGTTAAACTTGCTTCTCAAAGGTATCTTGTTGTAGCACAAAGGAACACAGATTACTCAAAAGTTAAACATGTTGTCTAAAGTATCTTGTTGTATCACAGAAGTAACACATGTTACTCAAAAGTTAAACTTGTTTCTCTACAGTATCACATGTACCACAAAGGTAACACATGTTACCACAAAAGTAACAAATGTTACTCAAAAGTTAAAAATGTTTCTCTAAAGTATCTTGTTGTACCACAAAAGTAACACATGTTACTAAAAAGTTAAACTTGTTTCCCTTAAGTATAACATGTACCACAAAAGTAACGCATGTTACTCAAAAGTTGAACATGTTCTCTAAAGTATCTTGTTGTATCACAGAAGTAACACATGTTACTCAAAAGTTAAACATGTTTCTCTAAAGTATAACATGTACCACAAAAGTAACACATGTTACTCAAAAGTTAAAAATGTATCTCTAAAGTATCTTGTTGTACCACAAAAGCAACACATGTTACTCAATAGTAACACATGTTACTCAAAAGTTAAACTTATTTCTCTGAAGTATCACATGTACCACAAAAGTAACACATGTTACCACAGAAGTAACATGTTACTCAAAAGTTAAAAATCTATCTCTAAAGTATCTTGTTGTACCACAGAAATAACACATGTTGCTCAAAAGTAACACATGTAATGATGTTACTCAAAAGTAACACATGTTACTCAAAAGTTAAAAATCGATCAAATCGTGGCTAACAGCACTTTGGTACTAGTTTATTTGAGATTCTAGATGGGGGGGCAACATTGATAACAAGTAAAAACATTTTGAGAACTCATTCTAAGATTATAGGAATAAAGACAAAAATATTGTTTGAAATTTTCTAACTCTAAAAAGAAAGATCTGAAGAAAAATTTATTCCATTGGCAGATTTAACTGTTTAATAATCAGTGTAGTGGGATTACTGGGAAGTAAAGCATTTCGATACTATTTGCTTATATAAAAATGCCTTCAGTTGCATGAAAGTTGTTTTCGAAACCAATGACCACCAATCTTCAACCATAAGCATCTGGCGATTGCTATGGTGTTAGGGCCACTTTATATTTTAAACCTATAACTTATTGTATTATATGTTTTTCTTAGTGCCTTCCTATGTCACTACAGGTATTATAATAACAATTTTATTAAGCATGTTCCATGCTGCAATTATAACCATACTTGAATTCATATATGATTTTTATATAACCACTTATAAATGTGTAGAAAGTATTGTTTTTGCCCTTGATTGTCCAGTCTTGATTTTAATAAAACAAAGAAATTGTAAAGAGGTTTTTTTAAAATTTTATATGTGTATCGGAAACACTGATAGCATCAATTTACACTATTCCAATTTTCATCTGTGGTACGTGCAATTCCACTAAAACTAAGTCTTTGATGATGTCACTAATCGTGAAGGGCCATATATGATAAAGTATATTTTGCATATTTTTTCTAATATGTTGAATTCTGGTATTTACTGGTACAAGACTGCTAGTGTGGTTGTATGTTACTTTACAATTTTATAACTCTCAGTGTGTTATCTTTTGATTTTAACGATATATTAAAATAATCTGTTTTGATTCTGATTTAATACTATCATATAGGGCTGGGCAATAAACTGTTTTCAAAATACACTATGGTACCCATTACATAGGGTTCGATATTTACATCTTAACAATATTCCATGCAGCGTAACGCAATGAAAAATGTCCCACATATACAGTGAAACCTTTCTAAACTAACCTGCACCCACTGGACCCATGAAAATGCTGGTTTATTGTGCTACTCAAACAGAGTTAAATCCCTGGTCATATGTCGTCCACAAAGGTAATTTGTCATCTTTACCATTAACATCATTAATAGATTACTGATAAATGAAAATGATTATTGAGGGTCCCTTGTACCCTTGTACATGGTGATTTAGTGGAGACATTTCAAATATCCCAGAGGGGATGTGGTTTGGAGGGGTTTCACTGTATTATTTTTTGAAAATGCAAAACTTTATATTATTATGTGCATATAACATAATAGAAGATATTAAGTTATTGTCACAGTCCTTTTGGGTTGTAAAAATCTTGTCATATCACAATTTCTCTTTATTGCCAAGCCCTGTGTACATTATGTTGTGTTTTCCTCATCTTAAACCTCTGCTTTCAATGTAGTGTTGTGTTGTGTTGTGGTCTTGTGTACTTTTTCCATTGTACATTGCTTTTTTTTTCTCGGATGTATATTCTTTGATTTTAATTTATTTGTTACATGTATATACCTCCCCTCTAAATATCACAATAGTTGTTGTTTCATGGTAAAAACAACATCAACATCATTTTCTTCAGAAAAAAAGTATGATTGGTCTTCTCATTATAACCATTCTATTTACAGTTATTGTGCCTGTTTTGAAGCCATAAAATTTGTCTTATAATCATTACTAGACAATAATAGCTCTCTAACCTAGAAAATTAAGTAGAACTGTCTGTAATCATAGGACTCAATTATTTTAGATCCAGAGTATCACACTTATTGTCACTCAAATTTATATCATGCGAATTTAAATCAGTTAAGTTATGATATTTGATTTTGATTTAGTTGACATTTTTTGTGTGTGTTCTGGTTGCTGTTGACAGATACAGAAATAATGCAAAAACATGTTATTGTCTGAAAAAGTCAAATGTTGATTGATTTTTTTCTATATTGTTTTTTTAAAGAGAATTGGAATATCAACCTCAAAATAGTGCTGTTAGTCTTAAGATGTCTTTGCCTATGCGTTGATAAAAATATAATTTTTTGTAACTTTACATTGATAGAATTTTGACTGGAATGTGCCCTCTTGTAAATGGAATTTTGAATACATTATGTGTGCTGATGCTTACACTTTTATCAATACAACTACATTCTTAGACTAACAGTACTATTTTGAGGTTGATATTCCAATTCTCTTTAAAAAAAAATGTAGAAAAAAATCAATCAACTTTTGACTTTTTCAGACAATAACATGTTTTCGCATTATTTCTGCATCTTTCAGATTCAGCAACCAGAATAAATTAAAAACTTTTTTACTTTGCTCAGATGATAGTTTTACAATGTCCAAGGTCAGATGATGAAAATTATATAGGAATCATTTAAAACACATTTTGACCTTACAAATTTTTCAAAGAACTGGTTTGAAGGAATGAAATAAAATATTAAAAGTGGGTTTTAGTTTCTGCATTAAGATTGTGATTGCCTCCCTTGAACCATGCAAGCATATATGATCATGTCCAAATCTGAATTTTAGAATATATTTGTTATGCAAGCTTGATATTAATTTTGGTATCCAAGCGCATGTCTTACCCATTGAATAGTAATGTGTGTGATAATTTTAGAACATAAGTGAAATTAGGCCCAGTAGAGTCTTCTTACTACATACTTAAAAGGATTGTCAAGAAGTTCTCTAAAACTTTTATGTGTATCAGACTTCTTTGGTTCCTGCAATTCCACTTAAATTAAGTGTTTGATGACATCACTAAGCGAAAAGGGTCTTATTTCATCAAACACTTCTTTTTTTGTGGAATTGCAGGAACCACAGACGTCTGATTGAAAATTGGAATGGTGCAACTTGATGTTATCAGTTGTCCTAATACACACAGAAAAAATTGAGAAAACTTTCTTATTTTATGATTTTTTTATCTGTTTTTCTATGAAATTAAAAAGGATCCCATTTAATATTTAAAAAGAAGTTTTTCAGATTCTTGACTTTGTATGGGAGACACCTATAAAATATTTTTACATTTTGATTTTCCAATTATCTATGGTTTCTGTAATTTTAGGAAAACCTGACAAGATTGAGATGTCATTATCGAAAATTCAAGAAATTAGGTTTAAATAAAAGCTATACATACAAAGTGCAGAAACACCTTTTATTTATCCCCTTGTGAAGCCAGACCAATTTATTTTCTTGTTGTAGGGATCCTCCTACCCCAATTTTGCAAAAATCGAAAGAAACGAATACAAATTCAAATCTTTAAGGGAAAAAAAAACGTTGAGTCCCGATGAAAAAAAATTAACCTCAAAAACTCCCATTATTAATGTAAATATATGAAAAAAAATAAAAAAAAAGTCAATATTTTTTTTGTCTTGCCTTTCATGCAAATTTGGTCTTTTTCTTTGGTCTTTTTTAACCTTTGGTAAAACATGAAAAAATAAATTGGTCTGACCTTATAAACAGTTTTAATAGTAACTTACTGTGTTTTTTTTTCATATTGTCATATTGTACTCTTTCCATTTTTAAATACAATCTTTTTTTTTTTCTCTGATAGATATTGCTGATAGTTTAGGTCATAAAGATACAAAAATTATATCAGATGATAATTTAGCTCAACTTGTCAGACAGATTGCTATGCATTGTAATGTAAGTACTATGTACTCTTTTATATATTCTTCCGCCTCATATGCTACAGCAGTGCAAGTTAAAGGGGCGTTCGGCTTGTAAACATTTTTATTATCAAAAACGTCGTCAATTATACCTGAAAATATTTCTAGAGTATTCTATTTATATCTACGTATCTACTTGATCAAACTGAATTTGTTTTAAAAGGGTTAATTAAAAACTGAGAGTACTAATTATTAATTGGGCTTATTCACCTTCTGTGTTATCAATCATATCTCAGTCTCCATGAACAGCAAACAGTTCAAACTAAAATTATCTGTGTTTGAAAGTTAAATTGACAACCACTCTTTTCTGGAGACTTGGCCATGTTGGAGAGCAGCTAATGTCATAATGGATTTAAAATAACTTTTGCTGTTGTTTAGCTGTAAGATGTACTTCACATCACATTGATCAGCCATTTTTGCTAGATTCTATTTTTCTTTCTTGAACAATTCCTTACAGCTAGCATCAATGGTGCTTCAAAGACAACAGTCTCAACCACAAGATCCCTTTGCTTCCAATTGGTTAGAGAGATTACGTCAAATAAAACGTATAAAACAGAAGGTTTATGAACTAGAGATGGGCAATATTGATGATAAAACATCATTTCCCACCAGTAGGTCATTTATGGAAGATTTTACAGATTATGTTTAGCCTACACCAGCTCAAATAATTAGAACATGAATTCAAAAAGTAAAGCTCAAACATGTAGCCTTACATGTACTTGGATATATTTGTATGTTATTTAATAACACTTATTATGATGAATAATGATATTATAACACTTATGTGTAAAAGGCCACCTGGAATTTGGAATTAAATTTTGTATAGCTTTGGATGACACAATGTTCAAAAAATCATACCAACATTTCTCATGTAAAAAAAAAACTTGACACTGATCTGATCTTTGATCAATGGAAAATCATATTGTGTCGAGCTTGTTCACCACTCATTTAGTCTAAATATTCATTTAAGTCTGCACCAAAGAAGTGAGCATCATAGCCAAAAAATATCAAAAACTTTGCAAAAACTTTGTTAAAGTTTTGTATTATTTGTGTTTCGTACAGTGTTTCTGTTCAAATCCAACTTTCTAGAACTATTTCTGAGAAACATATTTGTTGGGAAGCAGGTTCAATTTGTATCTTTCCAAGGTTCAATTTGTGTTCCATTCAAGAATGAATTGGTGCTGGGGCTCAGATTTTGTACTTTGAAGAATGAAAGGCCTAGAGAACTCATTTCTAACAATTTTGAGCTGCCAAAAACGTATCAAAATCTATATCTTTTCGATTTTGTACAAAGAAACTGTAAATGAATCAATCTGTGCTGAACTGAAGAAGGTTGTATTTTGTGGCATTTTGAAAAAATATTAGTGAAGGGAGAAACTTTTTTGATAAAATAAAATTTGTGATATTAAATTTATATGATTTCATAGATAAATTGCACTTGTTCCCCAGATTTGTATCATTGAAATACAGGTAATACTAAGATATGATTAGAAATACTTTACAATCCACTCCAACTTTAAGCTCAAAAATTCAAAATGGTAAATGCTCAAATCTATAGAGAATTGTGTTTGACAGAATTATGACTGGTTAATTTGGTCAGAATGATCATAATGCCATTTGGATGCCTCAATATTTGTAAGGTACTAGTAGACCAAATAAACCTGTCTGTATTCTAGCCTCTGATAGCTATTTTGACAGTTGTCGACTGATGTAGAGACAGAAACACTAGGATCTGTTTTGTGGGGATTTCTGCACCTTCGAGGATGTTAGTTTTTAAACCTATTAATTTAATTCAGATCTGACAATCCAAGATATATTTGGAAAGATGGATATTTTTGTAGTTCAGTCATACCATTACTTTCTCGCTACAACATTTATATCTCGTCTGCATTCCATCAAAGTGTTTTTTAATGAAACTGATCTCTTGTTGGCCAAACTGCGTGCACAGCCAAAAGTTCAAGGGTCACAGAGTCATGTGATACTAACAGAACGAAAGTGATCCCCAACATTAATTTGCAGTCATTGTAAAGGTAATTTAATGTTATGTTAGAAAGGTGTAGAATCCCCATAAAACATGGCCTAGTTTTTATGACTCTACTCCAGCTGACAACCATCAAAATATAAATCAGAGACTAGAATAGAGGTAGGTGATTCAGACTTAGGTACTGCATGCAGTCGCTCTGTAATAGATTGTGATAGTGCTAATTGTAATGCTCATGAAATTGTTTTCTGAAATGTTTGTGCATATTTATATTTATATTTGAACTTTCTTGTAATTAAAACCCTTGTCAAAAAGAAACTTACTAAAAAAATTTGCACATTTAAATATTAAGACTACTTCAAACTACTTAAAAGGTCTATTCTCTGAGTAAAGCAAAAAGTTTTAAAAAAATTTTCTGTTTTTTTATACGTCCACATCTCTCTATGTGGACGTATATTGTCGGCACCCCTGTCTGTCTGTCGGTCGGTCGGTCCGTACGTCAACATTTGCATGTAAACGCTCTAAAAACTAGATTTTATGATGGAAGCAGAGTTATTGCCTTTACCCCAAAATCTTGAATATTTACCATCCGCATGCCGTGGTGGGCGTATATGGCTGTGGTCCACTATATTTTTAAGAGAAGGGAATACCAGCCTCAAAATAGTATTGTTAGTCTTAAAATGTCTTTGCATTGATAAAAATGTAATTTTTTGTAAGTTTAAATTGAAAAGAAACACATTTCTCTCCCATAGGTCCCAAATTTTGCCTGAAAATTGTCCCCACGTAAAAACAAATTTATGAAAACATAATGTGTGCTCAGGTTTATATTTATATCAATACAAATACATTTTAAGACAACTAACAATACTATTTTGAAGCTGCTATTCCAATTCTGAAAAATAATGAACAAAAATCCATTGTTGATATAACATTTGAGATCAATTTATATGATTAACCAATGAGATGAAAAAAACCTGATTTGATGTATCATCTTCAAGCCTACGAACTGGTGCTCTTTCTCTGTGGATAACTTCAGATGATGAGTCAATCTAAAACAATCATTTTGGAACTGCTTCTAAATTCCCCCCCTTTGTGAATAACCCAATCCACCCCTATTCGCCCCTACCCCAAAAACACCCTCTATCCTATTTCCCCCCCCCCCCCCCCCCAAATGCACCCTTAGGGGACCCTGCTTGAGAAGCACCATAACTAAATCCTTGTGATCATGTTGATGTGGATTTCTATTTGAATAGTACTATTACGGATGACAAATTTACCTAGGTATAGTCGTAAATATAGTCGTATTTATTTGTTTGAAAAACTGTAATATAAGTCACATGATATTTTTATAATGAATAAATTAATGTTAAGAAACTCTACAGTGTATTACAAATATTATTTACTGCACCAAATTTCACTCACCAGATCTTTTGTTGGTAAACTAAAATACAACTGATTTACTTCATCTGCTAATTCATTGAAAAATAGTGAAAAATATGGTAATAAATATGACAAACTACTAATTCTGGTCTTTATATATCTATATGAAATGTGGAGTGCATATTGGAATCACCATGTCCATAAGTACGTTGATTTACGAAATTGTTCGTTAACGCTCAAGAAGGCACTATTCTCGACGGATTTTAAAGAAACTTGGTGTAAGTGTTTGTTATCAACCAAGAATGAATCCTATCGAAAATAAGAAAAATATTTAATATGGGTTATTGACCTTGTTTTTTAAAACACATTCAATTTTTTTCTCGTAAACACTCCAGAAGGCACAATTCTTGACGAAGTAAGTATTTATTATGACCCAAGGATGAACCTCTTTTGAAAATGAGAAGATAGCTTGCCAGGCAACATCAACCACCACCAGCTGTCAGAAATGAGTCTTTGCTGGCTTAAAAATGAATATTCTCAAAATCTTGTAAGTGGGTTTCCTTATTTTTCTAGTGTTAAATTAAGCAACCTATTTGAGTAATTGGTGTTTCTGATGAATTATCATGTATTCTTAATCATATCATTATGTTCTTATTGCATATAATTAAGAGTTTTAACTAATCATAAATATCCATGTATGTACAATCTGGATAAACAAAAAAAAAGACTTTTTGTCCTTTCTTGATCTGTCACTAATTGGAATTCTGATGGTAATTCTCTTATAATTTAGCTAATTATGGTTAATTTTGGACATGTGTGTAAGACAAACTGGTATTTTTTATACGCCCACACATATATATGTGGCGTATATTGTAATCAACCTGTCGGTCCGTCCTTTCACATTTGGTTCGTGCTCACTCCACATGCTACAGTTCTTTACAGATTCTTTTGATTTTGATTTTGTTTGTCAATGTCATTATGAAGATGATCCCTATCGATTTTCGTGATGATCGGATAATTTTTCACCGAAATATCGTGTCTGAGTTGACGTTTCACTCTATTAGCTATATTGTGCAACTCGTGTTCAATCTACAGGCGACAATTCTTTACAGATTCTTTTGTTCAATTTACAGGCGATAATTCTTTACAGGTTCTTTTGTTCAATTTACAGGCGATAATTCTTTACAGGTTCTTTTGATTTTGATTTTGTTTGTCAATGTCATTACGAAGATGATCCCTATCGATTTTTGTGATGATTGGGTAATCGTTAAATAGTATTATATTTATATCTCTTAGCTATATTGTGCAACTCGTCTTCACTCTACAGGCTACAATTGAATGGGCAGCAAACAAAGATCTTTAGTCTGCAATGTCTGTAGGGTAGATTCAACTGGATTCGCAGATCGTCTTGATGAATTTTAAAAATGGCTAATCAAACGAAATACTTGGCCGCTAAAAAGGTCATTTTGACTCTTAAATTGCGAAGCAGTACCATTTAAAATTGAACCCTGTCGTAACAGAGCACAACAATTCGGAGATCCCGAAAGTGGTGATCGTGTCATATCGAGATCGTATCGTGGACTCAATCGAAGGAATCGTATAGGAACGTCTGCTATCGTATCTGAACGAAATGTTAGATCGTGACACCTTAGATTGACAAATCATGAACAGATGGGTTTTTTTTTATATTCCACAGACAAATTGCCAAGTCGCCCTCGCAAATTTTCACTCAACTTTATAGATAAAATTATATTTTTATAGAATTGGTGCAACTAGTGTATGATTTGGCAAGAGATTTTCATGATAACGTAACATTATTAGATGTATGTATTATGTAACTCAATTGTATCTATTTTTGTTTGAAACTAGTTCCTATAAAATCAAACGAACCACACAAAGCCTAAAATCCCTCTCTTTAATCATGTAGCAAAGATCGTTAGCCTACTGTTTATTTTAATCTTTATAATTAAATCAATCAGTATAGATAATGTTACAGATATTTCTGGATGCAAGTCTATTTACAACAAATTGTACTATCGAATTTTCCAGTTTATAAATTCAATATTTTTATATCGAATTTCAGGTCGCGATCAAATTGCTATTGACGTACAATAAGGAGTTATTAATACACAAATAATATTCGATATTGACTGGCCTAGTCCGAGAAACTACTGACTCAGCTCGACTTATTCTTTATTTATACAAAA